CCAAAGAGGCAAGATGTTAATTTATCTTTCTTTCCTGCCTGCCATTGAAAGATAGGACTAGAAATCAACAAGATGAAATTCAATAAAGACAAGTGCAAAGTACTACACCTAGGAAAGAAAAATCAAATGCACAAAACCAAAATGGGGAATCGCTGCCTAGGTGGTAGTACTGCAGAAGAGGATCTGGGGGTTTATAGTGGATCACAAACTGAGTATGAGCTAACATGTCACAGTTGTGAAAAAGGCTCATATCATTCTGGAGTGTATTAACAGGAGCATTGTATACAAGACATAGGAGGTAACTGTCCCACACTGTTCAGAACTGATGAAGCCTCAGCTGGAGTAATGTGTCCTGTTTTGGGTGCCACACTAAGAAAGATGTGAACAAACTGGAGGTAATCCAGAGGAGAGGAACAAAAATGATAAAAGGTTTAGACTGCCTAACCTCTGAGGAAAGGTTAAAAAAACTGGGTACTTTGCATCTTGAAAAAGACAAATGAGTGGGGGCCCGATAGTCTTCAAATATTTTAAGCACTGTTATAAAGAGGATGGTGGATCAATTGCTCTCCATATCCACTGAAGGTAGGAACAGAAGTAACCGGCTTAATCTGCAGCAATGGAGATTTAGGTTAGATATTAGGAAAATCTAACTATGAGGATAGTTAGGTACTGGAATAGGCTTCAGAGAGAGGTTGTGGAATCCCCATCATTGGAGGGTTTAGTCAGGAATGGCTTGGGTGAAGAGGTGGGTTTTCAGTTTATCTGTGAATGTGATGAGGTTAGAAGCCTCTCCTGTTTGGTCTAGTAACAAGTCCAATGGTCTTGCTTTGGTTCTCATGAAGGTTCTAACTCCTACAGGCACAAGTCTCCCCCTACTGGTCAACAGTTTGTTTGTTCCAGTGGAACACAGCTGCTGTAGCAAACCATGGTCATACTAGGTGAAATTACCTTTAACGTAGCCAGGACTAGTTCCATGGGAGGGTTTGAACTAGATTGGGCA